TTTTTTTTTTTTTTTTTAGAGATGGGGTTTCGCCATGTTGCCCAGGCTGGTCTTGAACTCAAGCAATCTGCCTGCCTTGGCCTCCTGAATTGCTGGGATTCTAGGTGTGAGCCATTATGTCTGGTCAGTTTTAATGTTGATTTACTTTGTGAGTAATGACAATATTTCAAGAACTCATTCCCACTTTAAAAAAAAATTATTTATTAAAATTGTTTTATTTTTCCTTAAAATATATATTTTATAATATTTTAGAGATGGGTCTCGCAGTTTTGCCCGGGCTGGTCTCAAACTCCTGGCGTCAGTCTATCCTCCCAAGTCTATCCTCCCAAGTAGCTGGAATTACAAGTTTGAGCCATGGTGCCCTGCAGTTAAAAAAAAAAAATTCTGAATGTTATATTAAATAAGTGATTAGCTGGAGTTTTCCGTATAGTATATGCTTTTCTGTTCTATGTTTACAACTTACATAGGTGTTCATAGAACTATAAACGTCTTGAGTGTGCTTTTGCATTTCAGTGGGTTTAGCTAGCAATAGGCATTTTTCGCTGTATCTTTTCTTAGGTGAATCTGCCTTTGCTTAAATCTAAAGGTTATCTCTTTCAGCTTTATCTTTATGAGTCTTTTTGTAATTTTGAAACCTCCGCCTCCTAGATTCAAGTTACTCTTCTGCCTCAGCCTCGCAAGTATCTGGGACTACAGTTGCATGCCACCGTGCAGGCTAATTTTTATATTTTTAGTAGAGATGGGGTTTCACCATGTTAGCCAGGATGGTCTTGATCTCCTGACCTCATGATCCACCTGCCTTGGCCTCCCAAAGTGCTGAGATTACAGGTGTGAGCCACCATACCTGGCTTTTTTGTAATTTTTTAAAGAAGTAGCTTCTAATATGGTGAAATGAAGCAAAACCATTTAGAAGTATAGTTTAAACTGACATATGTAGACAGTATTTTAAGTTCTAAATAGGCTCTGGTTGAATGAAAATATAAAAAGATTTTAGGTTTTTCACAATATGCTTTCTATGAATTATTCTGCTATATTATTTTCTGTAAGCTAAAGTTATTTATGCCCATTTCACATGAAATCAGCTGAGTCTAGGTCTCAGGGGTCAGTTACTTGGGGGGAACAATTTTCTTGCATGCTCAGGAAAGTCTGGATAAACTAAATTGGGTATTACATTAAACAAGGTTTATGTGCCATTGACCTTTCTATTTTAGGGCTTGTAAGAAAATTTGTATTTTTAAAATAAATTATATTTGGCCTTTTTGTTTGTTCTTAGGATTCGGTATTATTGTGTAAGGAAGCAGTTAAAATAGACAAGTAAATACAGACGAAAATATCTAGGAAACACAGTCTCTAAATATATATATATATTTTTTTGCCATGGAATCTTACTCTGTTGCCTAGGCTGGAGTGCAGTGGTGTCATCCTGGCTCACTGCAACTTTTGTCTCCCGAGTTCAAGTGATTCCTGTGCCTCCGCCTCCTGAGTAGCTGGGATTACAGGCACGCATCACCACTCCTGGCTAGTTTGTATCAGTAGTAGAGACGGGGTTTCACCATGTTGACCAGGCTGGTCTTGATCCCCCGACTTCAGGTGGTCTGCCTGCCTCAGCCTCCCAAAGTTCTGGAATTACTGGTGTGAGCCAGTGTGCCCAGCCTCTTTGTATTTTTTTTTTTTTTTTAAAGAAACAATATCTCACTATGTCGCCCAGGCTGATCTGAAACTCCTGGTCTCGAGTGATCCTCTGGCCTTGGCCTCCCAAAGGGGTGGGATTACAGGCATGAACCACTGTGCCTGGCTGATTGTCTAAGTCTAGATTTTTATGTGTCTGCCTCCTTGCCAGTATGGCACGTTTTTTACACCTTTATTCTTTTCTTTCTCTATTGACAGTTGTTCTGTCAGTTTTTGTTATTAATAATAAGTAATTTTGTTTTATCAGAACACTATAGTATCTCATTTGATTGTTTAGGATTCATTTTCACCTGAATTTGGGCGCTAGCTTCTTGATTTCTGGTTTCACCCTCTTTTCCTCCTCTCCTTTCCTTGTTATTTCTTACTTATTCTAACTTAGTTAATACTATATTTTTTATATATATATTCTATATATATAAATTATATATTAGTTATATCATTTATTATGTTGTATTATATATATAGAAAATATAAAAGGTAAACAAAATAGTTTTAAAATACATAACATATATAACTGTATTTTTAGTAGTTTTACTAGATTCATTTGGCATTTGGGCTTTCCAGGTTTTGTTTGTTGTATTTTGTTTGGTTTTGTTTTTTGAGACAGAGTCTCCCTCTGTCGCCCAGGGTGGAGTACAGTGGTGTGATCTCGGCTCACTGCAATCCCTGTCTCCTAGGTTCAAGTGATTCTCCCAAGTCAACCTCCTGAGTAGCTGGGAGTACACGCCCGTCTAATTTTTGTAATTTTAGTAGAGGTGGAGCTTCACCATGTTGGCCAGGCTGGCCTCGAACTCCTGACCTGAGGTGATCTACCCACCTCAGTCTCCCAAAGTGGCAGGGTTACAGGCGTGAGCCACTGTGCCTGGCCTCAGATTTCTTCTTGTTTACCTCTCATAAGGACTTATTTACCCTCTGCTAACTATTAAAAGTCAATTGAGGAAACATAACACTAAAGCTTCTTCTTTTTTTTTTTTTTTTAATTCAAGACAGCATCTTCCTTTGTTGCCTAGACTGGAGTGCAGTAGCACAGTCATGGCTCACTGCACCCTCAACTTCCTGGGTTCAAGCAGTCCTCTGCCTCAGTCTTCTGAGTAGCTGGGATCACAGCCGTGTGCAATTACACCCAGCTAATTTCTGAATTTTTTTGTACAGATGGAGTCTCACTCTGTTGCCCAGACCAGTCTTGAACTTTTGGATGCAAGCAGTCCTTCTGCTTTGGCCTTCCAAAGTGGTGGGATTACAGGTGTGAGTCATCAAGCCCCAGCCTGAGAAATTTCTTTTATCTCTCTGAGACCATCTGCTTTACAGAGAAAGTGTAGTAAATTCTCAAGGCATACAACTGTGTATGGTGGATTGGTTTTCTTTTACTGTTGAGAAAACTAAAGAGAAGTTTAGCCCAAGTCATACAATTAAAAAGTATTAAAGACAAGATGAGAAACCATTGTTTTGACTCATAATCCTTTATTTCCCACAGTTGACTGGGAGCATGAGGAAATAATGTTTTGTTTGATATTTTAATTATATTGTGTGATTAAACAAAATAAATACGTAATACAATAAAAATATGGTAAAGAACTGGAATTGCAAACTAAAACAAAATCTTTTTTTTTTTTTTTTTTTTTTTTTTTGAGACAGAGTTTCATTCCTGTTGCCCAGGGTGGAGTGCAATGGTGCGATCTTGGCTCACCGCAAACCTCCACCTCCTGAGTTCAAGCGATTCTTCTGCTGCAACCTCCTGAGCAGCTGGAATTACAGGCATGCCCCTACATGCCCAGTTAATTTTTTATTTTTGGTGGAGACGGGATTTCTCCATGTTGGTCAGGCTGGTCTCGAACTCCCGATCTCAGGTGATCTGCCCGTCTTTGCCTCCCAAAGCGTTGGGATTACAGACCTGAGCCACTGCGCCCGGCCTTTTTTTTTTTTTTTTTTTTTTTTGAACTGTTGGTCACAAGTGGTCTTCCTGTCTCAGTCTTCCAAGTAGTTGGGACTATAGGTGCATGCCACAGTGCCTGACTTGCCATCTTTTGTTCAGATAGATTTTATGTAGAGGGTACCATGTGGTTCATAATCTACCTAATGTCTTTACATGTTAGAGAACCAGCACTATGTGAGCTTTTTATTGGGAACTTATACTTGTGCCTTTTAATGGCTTTACAGTGATACTTAACACTTTGCTTTTTTTTTTTTTTTTTTGAGATGGAGTCTTCGTCCGCCAGGCTGGAGTGCAGTGGTATGATATTGGCCCATTGCAACCTTTTCTCCCAGTTTCAAGTGTTTCTCCTGCCTCAGCCTCCCAAGTAGCTACCGGCACATGTCACCACACCTAGCTAATTTTTGTATTTTTAGTAGAGATGGGGTTTCACCATGTTGGCCAGCTGGTCTCAAACTCCTAACCTCAAGTGATCTGTTCGCCTCAGCCTCTCAAAGTGCTGGGATAACAAATGTGAGCCACTGGGCACAGCTGATACTTAACACTTTCCCTTTGAACTTTTTTGGCCTCAGTTTTATTAAACTCTAAGTTAAATAACTTCCCAAAAGATTGCCTCTTAACCTATACATAAGGAAGTCATAATATTTTTAGGCTTGATTAACCATAAATGTCAATAATAACTAGAGAACCAGTAGTCATAATTAGGCCAGCAGCTTAGTCTATGGCAAGTTCGTATTAATGGCCTTAGAAACTATCTGGGCCACAAAGAGTTAAAGCACAAAAGATCTGAATTTTGCCATTTTTAAATTAGTTATCTTAATAAATTACCACAAACCTAGCAACTTAAAATGATATGTTTACTGTTACGGTTTCTGTGTGTCAGCAGTCTGGGTATTGCTTAGTTGGGTACTTTGCTTATGGTCTCATCAAAGCTAGAGTTAAAATACTGGCCAGGCCTGGTTTCTCAAAGACTTGGTTGGAGAAGGATCTGCTTCCAGTTTCCCTTAGCTCGTTGGAAAAATTTATTTCATTGCAGCTCCAACAAGATGGATAACTTGTGTTATCACATGCACATTATCATGCCCGTCCTATTTCCCTTGCCACATTCTGTTGGTTAGAAACAAATTAGAGGCCCTGCCTACCGCACTCAGCAGGGTGAGGGGGGTTATACAAATGTGTAATACCAGATGGTATGGATCATGGGGACACCTTAAAGTGAATCTTTCACTGTTTTTTTTTTCATTGCTTTTGCTCTTCACTGTCTCCTTTGTCTCTCTTGACTTTACCCCTTACCATCTCCCAGGCACAAGTTAAAAAAAAGAAGGGAGATAATATGATTTATGATTGATCCATGGGAATATGATTTCCTTTTTTCTTGTAGTGGGCTTAAAATTGAATTCAGTGGATCCAACAATGAGCATTGATCTTAAATACTTGGGAGTACAGTTACCTTTGGCTCCAGCCACTAGCTTTCCATTTTGGAACCTTACAGGAACCAACCCTGCCTCTCCTGGTGAGTATGTAACATTTGCAACGTCAAACACTATTTTTCTTGAAGTTTACGTTATTTGTGATGTAAGTAAAAAGCTACATTTATTGGTGATACTTAAGATCGGTCTAAGATATTTTGTTGTTAAAGTTTTGATAAGTGATTTATATACTTATAAATTGAAGTTTTATTAATTAATTAGGTCCATAATATTGGCCTGCTAGAAGTTTGGTCATTTCTTTGACTTTTTCTTTTATAGATGCGGGATTTCCCTTTGTTTCTAGGACAGGGAAAACCAATGATTTCACTAAGATCAAGGGATGGAGGGGAAAATTTCATAGTGCTTCTGCATCTAGGAATGAAGGTAATTCGTTTTTAAAAATTCTGTAAATGTTCTGAAACATGTAACCAACAACCTTTTGTTAAAAGTAAGCCTTCGTTGTTTTTCTTCATCCTTTCTCTCCATGATTTAAAATGAACTGAAAATACTCGTCTTTTGCTGTTTTCTGTCTGCTACCCACTTTCCTATAGTCACAACCCTGAGGTTCAGTTGGGCTTAAATAATTGCTGCAGACTTTTTAACAGCATTTCTGTTGTTTCTATTCCTGCAATTACAGAAAACATCATTCTCAAGCATTAGTTTAGAACTGTATACTTCAGAGTTGTATAGTGATTCCTGATAGTCTTATACTTAAAAGTAAACTTCTAATCCAAGCATTTTGACTGTGTCCTTCTTGGTCTCCTTTTTTAGTGCTTTTCCTTGTTCGCTGAGTTTGTTTGCAATTTATACTCTTAACTAGATAAATATGCCAGTTGTCCAAATTAGTTTTTCTCACCTTTGAATCTTTTCACTATGTTTATAACAGTGTAATCCATGTCTTTGTACTTAATTTTTTTGTTTCTTAAAAACTAAATTTTATGGCTGGACATAATGACTTATGCCTGTAGTCCCAGCACTTTGGGAGGCCGAAGTGAGTGGATTGCCTGAGCTCAGGAACTTGAGACCAACCTGGGTAACATGGTCAAAACTCCTCTCTACAAAAAATGCAAAACAACTAGATGTGGTGGCGCATTCCTGTAGTCCCAACTACTTGCCACGGCGCCTGGCCAATCTCTTAAATAATCTTTTGGCCTTCTGTTGAGGCCTGCTTTAATTTAATTCTTTTTTTTCCCCTGTTACGTTTTTACTTATCTTTCGTCTCTTTACTTAGGTCAAATATTGTTAAAGGTTGAATATTCTTAGGTTAATTATATTGTTAGGACTTCTTAAACATTAGTACCTCAATAAATGATGTAATGTGATCATTTTAGGGTAAGACATAATTTTAGAGAATGGATTTTAATGTGATTAGTGCCCAAGACTAGAGAATGGATTTTAATGTCATTAGTATCTGAGACTCATTCTCGTCACTTGTTTTTTTTTTTTCTTTTTCTTTCTGAGGAAAGATAGTTTATTTATTAATGAATTTATTTTTTAAAATTTATTTTTTTATAGACAGGGCCTTGCTATGTTGCTTAGGCTGGTCTTGAACTCCTAGCCTCAAGCGGTCCTCCTGCTTCTTCCTGACAAAGTGCTGGATTATAGATTTGAGTCACTTTGCCCACCTAAGGGATAGTATAGAAGATTCAGTAGCTTGTAGCTCAGAATTCTTGGCCTTTTTTAGTGTTTTTGTGGTGATTCACAAATCTGTCCTAGATTTCTTTAAGCATTTTGTGTTTTCTTGTTTCTAGGTGGAAATTCAGAAAGTTCACTGAAAAATCGTTCTGCTTTCTGTAGTGATAAGCTAGATGAATACTTGGAAAATGAAGGCAAGCTGATGGAAACAAGCATGGGTTTCTCTTCTAATGCTCCCACATCTCCTGTGGTGTACCAGCTTCCCACCAAGAGTACCAGCTATGTACGAACACTAGATAGTGTACTAAAGAAGCAATCTACTATTTCCCCTTCTACCTCTTACTCTTTGAAACCTCATTCTGTAGCACCTGCCTCTCGAAGGGCAAAGTCTCAAAATAGACAGGCAACTTTCAGTGGCCGAACAAAATCATCTTATAAATCCATTTTACCATACCCTGTTTCACCAAAGCAGAAATACTCTCATATGATTCTAGGAGATAAGGTTACCAAGAATTCTTCAGGCACCGTCTCAGAAAATCAGGTGAATAACTTTGTTGTGCCAACTTTAGATGAAAATACATTTCCAAAGCAGATTAGTTTGCGGCAGGCACAGCAGCAGCAGCAGCAACAGCAACAGGGAAGTCGCCCTCCAGGCTTGTCTAAATCTCAGGTGAAGCTAATGGATCTGGAAGACTGTGCGCTTTGGGAAGGAAAACCAAGGACATATATCACAGAAGAGCGAGCAGATGTATCCTTAACAACTCTACTTACAGCCCAAGTAAGTAGCTGCTGTTTTCTGGAGGCATATTAGTATTTGGCTAGAAAAAGTGTGAGGTTAGTGAGGGGAAATGGGAACCGGACTTTTTGGCAGGGTGATCAGCCAGTTTTTAGCATTTAGAACCTTTGTGAGAACTAAGGTGATGTCGTCCCCATTCATTGTTCTTTACCAACTAGACACTCAGATGTAGATTCCCCGCCAGCAGAGGGAGACAGTACAATTGCACTTTTGAATAACACCTCTCTCCTGTATAAAGGCAGCTGGCCATTCTCAAAATCTCTAATTTCATTCTCCAACATATGGGAAAGTATATTTGCTGATCTTGTTAACACAACTTTGAAATTTGTGCTTTTATTATTTTTTTGAGATGGAGTCTCGCTCTGTTGCCCAGGCTACCGTGCAGTGGCAGGATGTCAGCTTACTGTAACCTTCATCTCCCAGTTTCAAGCAATTCTCCTGCCTCAGCCTCCCAAGTAACTAGGACTGAAGGCACATGTCACTGCACCTGGCTAATTTTTAGTGGAGACGGGATTTCGCCACGTTAGCTAGACTGATCCCGGACTCCTGACCTCACGTGGTCTACCTGCCTCGGCCTCCCACAGTGCTGGAACTACAGGCTTGAGTCATCACACCTGGCCTGAAAATTATGCTTTTAAAATATACTAAATCCCAGGAAATTCAAAATTAAAATCTGTGGAGAAAAGCCTTTTGTCTTTTGTGAAATTTTGTATTAATAATTTTTTACTTATTTTATTTTTATATTTAAAGAATTTTATGGCAAGGGATGTAGGAAGTAATTTTTTTTTTTTTTTTTTTTTTTTT